CACTAAACAATCCTGAGAAAGGGCGTTCGAGAGCAGCAAGGTGTTCCCCAACATACGAGGTGCAGAGCACCTCACTCGTCCCCTGTGTGGGTTCTCACCACACCTCCACAAAGACTTCCCGACAGCCTGCTGCCCCCAGGTCTCCAGTAACAGGCAGTGCTAAGACTTTGTTACTTTGACCAGCTTGGCTACAGAACATAACGAAGTAGAATCATAAATAATTAAAATGAAGCTGCAATTGTCAAAATAAATGAACAAAGTACACTTTCATGATGCATTATCCTGGCTTTTCAGTTGATTTTCTTCATTTACTATTTTGCAACGTTCATGATGGGTTAGTCTCCAGCACACTGGTGCTTAGGGGCCAGGCATGGGAGTCAGGAGACCAGTAAGTTGCTGTGTCACATCCCTGCCCTGTGCCTCAGTTTCCCCATCTGTGAAACAGGGATAATGACACAGGCCAGCATTGGCAAAGCTCTGAGATCTATGGCTGTCTCAGAGATCTCCCCCTGCTGGTATCACTGCCAGTCAATGCTCCCTCAGAAACATGGTGAGGGTAGGGAATGGAGACTGCCCATCCAAATCACAGCTGCTAAAGTCACCTTCTCTCCCTCTGCTCCAACCCTGGCGCTCTTCACTGGATTCCTGGCTCTTCTCATGGCAAACCAGAGCTCCTCACCCTTATTATTTCAGGTCATGTGCCTGGTTCTCTGCACTCCTCCCAGTCCTCTCTCCTCACGGCCCCCTTACTCCCCTCTAGACTTCCTACCATCTCTCACTGCTGCCCCATCCACGTGGTGCAGTCTCCCTGTCTGTCAGCCCCAGTCCTGCAGGGCCCGTGCCCCACACGAAGTCCCACTGACAGCAATCCTCTTGCAGGACCAGGGCTGACCGTCGCAAAGTGCAGGCTAGAGATGTGATTTCATTCAAATGAAGTGATGACGTTTCTAACCCCGGCTGTTAGTCCATTGTTACTACGGCTGATTATTTTCGCCACCATCATGTATTTTAGGAAAACCGACAATCTCAGTGACCAGCGTGAGATTCACGTTGGGTTTCCCTTGCTGCAGAAAGAGGCCAGAGAGACGTGGGTGCGCCCAAGCCACGGATTGCTGAAGCAGGGCCAAGGGAAGAGGATGGGGCATGCGCTGGAGCCAGCTGGTCTCTGCCAGGGTCTCTCAGGCTGAGAGCAGTGGGAGCAGATGGGAGCTTAGGAGAATGGGCACAACCCCCCCCCCACTACCCCCACCCCCCGAAAACAAGAACATTCCCCTGGTTGTGCTTCCTTCTTGGTGGGGAGAAGTGGATGACTCCTTTCCCAAGAGTTCTCTCCCCACCTGAGAGACCTCACAGAGGGGATCACCATACCTAGGAGAGCAAGGCAGACAGAGCAGATTCTGTTCCCATGCCGGGCCCTGAACCACCAATGCATGCTGCCTCTTGTGTGTTTAGGCCCTTTGCAAACGAAGTCATCATAAATGACTGAATCTTGCAGCTCCGTAAGTGAAGGAACCATGTACAATATCTCTGGCCCATGCCAGTCTCTGCTTTATGAAAGTGGAACGTGCCGTGTGCCTGCTGGCGGCGTGTTCTGCACCACGTGCAATAATCCAGGGGCCTGTAAAAGAACCATGCCCCGTGAGCGCCATCTCGCAGCCTCAGATGTGGAGAGCGCTTGATTTTCATGCAACCTGCTCTGCAGAGGAAGCGGTGACGGGGAGATGGTTTGGCCCAGAATAAACGCAGCTAGAAAAGCAACGGGAGCATTTACATCTGCTAATGGGCCCCGCTGTACTGTGTCTAACGGAACCCTGCATTCCTACAGTACCAGGGGCAGGCCTAGAAGATGCTCAGCGCTGGTCTCACTCTGCTCCCAGTGAAGTCACTGGAAGCTTACAGAGTTACGCCAAGGCCGAGCACTTTTGATAACCCCACCCAGAAGGCACTGGGGTTATACAAGCGACTTGGTGGCTAGTAAGTATCTCCCCTGGCTGTTGACAGCCATGTTGATGTGGTAAGTAAAGAAATCAGCTGAAGCCACATCTTGAGTAAGTCGTTCCGTGATTAACAAACCCAAGCCTGAGGGAGCCGTG